ATAAATGTGTCGCCAACAGTTTTTTTTTTCCTTCGAAGCGTGTGTCGAAAACACAATCGATAGGTACGCTAAAAAAAATTACTTCAGCGACATTTTCTTATAACGCGCTCATCGCGCCCCTCGTTCCGGGCGGTATATTGAAAAACAAAAGCTCTCCCGTCGGGAGAGCTCTTTTGATATTCAATCTTTACATTAATGTCATGTCGAGAAAATGATATTATATTAAGTAAGATGCTAATGTCATACGGAACATACGAAAGTAAGGATTTTACTCTTATTTATCTAAAGCTGTGTCAATTGTTATCAGAGCGCGCCGCGATTGTTTTTTTTTTTTTCAAACACACTTTCTCATCTTCTCAGTTAAAATGCTACAGATACTTTTATGAGATATAATTAATGATTATTTTATCTCATTACTAATTTGCATTTATTTATTCATAAACGTAATCTGAACATCTAGTTTTTTTTTTTTAAATAAAATTGCGCGTTCTCCCACACGACTGAAGCGTGTATTTAATTCGATGCTAAAACTCGAAGCTGTAACACGAGGACTGGTATCAACACTTGCACCAATAGCACCTGCGCAAGCATAATGAACGAGTGAGGAAAATTGCTTTATACCGTCCACGATAAAAACACGACACGTACGAGCCTAGACACAATTATGGGCGCCACAAATTGTATGACGTTGCCTCGCGCTTGTCCTACTTTTTCAACAATATAGGAGAGAAGAGAGATAGGTAAGTTAAATCTTGTTGAATAATATCTCGCGATTAATAACCGATCACAACATTACCGTGTATATATACGGTGAATATAAAAAAATTATTAAATATTAAATCAAAAATAATGAAAAAATTAATAAAAAAATTATAACTATTAAAATAAAATAATAAACTTTCGAGTAGTAAGCGTGTAAACAGTTAAAAAATATGGTAAGTGCGTGTTGTGTGTGCATGTGTGTGTTTCAAGAGAAACTAGTACACACATTGCAAAAATAACTCGTAACTTTTATGAGAAATAATCAAGAGGCACGGTAGTGCCTCGCGCCAAGTATATGCGCAAACGAAGTGCGCGCGTATTAATAACAAGACAAATATCGAAGTTCAATTGCGTTCCTTCATAATCAAATAAAACGACAAAAATGCTTGTTGCTCGAACGAATGTTTATTCGTTCTCTTCTCCAATTTTTACAATATATGTATCAATTAATTTTTCTGTTTTCACCTTTCGCCGACAGTTTTAGAATTTGTATCGATTGTTCGGCGCGTTCACGTGAATGCGCAAACTGTGTGCTCACATTTTCTCGCCTTGTTTTACCGCTTGCGCGCAACGGCGATCAATCTCGCGAAAACTCATTGTGCTGGCAAATCGCGCGGAGCCGTCGTTTTTTTTAATGAGATTGAAGCCGACCAAACGAGAAATCGATATTTTTGCCGACGACCATTAGACGACTCTAATTGGGACGTTTCGCCCCGTAAACTGTATTCTTAACGTTAACAATTTCGACACAGTGTCTTTCAACGTCAAAATAAAACCGTGCTTGTCTAATGCATCCCTGGCACGTATCTTGTATTGAGCTCGAGGAGATTTCCGTTGAGTTTCTTTCACGAAAGGGGAGGCCTACATCAGGTTAAACGACTTCTCTATTTGTCGGACGTATTTGCGCGCCGAGTCTCTGTCGTAATTTCTGTCGAAAGGCGACTGACCCCCAAATATGATGAGACAGCATTGACATGCATGCGCCGACTCGCCTTTCAATTTCTATTATGCGCGCTTTTAAAGTCGCGCACAACCGACTACCGACTATTAATGCATACTAATAACTCGTTACACGAAAATAACCTAACTTCAAACTTCTTGCTTCAATTCGAGCGAAGAGTAACTTCGAACACTTCCGCATGAATACGTAATTACGTCTAAAGTTTGCATCCGTAATTTTGTACTTTTGTGCGGTCGCGAATGAGCAACAGAAATGACAATTTGTGTACGCGTAAATATATTCACAGCGCGCGTATTATCTGCAATTAAGAACTTTTGAGTATTACGATAATAATCACATGTGTATGTACACTGCATGTACCAATCATCAACTCCAGTGTTATGTCATTTATTTTCAAACAACATTCGGATTACATCAGCTGTATTTCGCGGATTGACGTAGATAATAAGAAATGTATAATGAAGCGACATTTGGATATTACACAATGGAATAAATAATTAACGAATGATAAAAATGACTGATGTAGGTCACGAAAAGTTCCTGATATGCGATAAGATTAAGTTGCAAATAAATAATCGATAATTGATTAGTAATCAAAAGCTCGAATATTTGCTTAACATACTAATACACGCATGGGAAAATGCGGATTATATTTCGAGAGAGACACCCATCACAGATGTTCGACGAACGTCGTTTCAATTTATTTACATGCCGTCGCAATAATTCGTATGTGACTGTTCGTCGAAAACACGCAATTTTATTAAGTTTTTATTTAAAATAGGAATTTAAAATAAGAATTTAAAATAAGAATTTAAAATAAGAATTTTTAAAATAAGAATTTAAAATAATAAATAAGAAAAGACAAACAACACACAAATTTCGAGATTTTTTGTTGAGAACCAATTTTGAAAAGAACGTGAAATATATTAAATTCAAGGACACGGCTGAATATACAGAAAAAAAATTATATTCCGTACTCCACGCTTAAGTTTCTATATGAAATTCGTGGTTCGCATGTCAACGGCTTCAAACACGGATTGTGAGCGGTGCCTCGAAGAGAGAAATAGAGACGTACGCATGTTCGTATAAGTACCTTTTTACCGAAAAACGACACGCTATTTGAACAGGTGTGCGCGCGTACCAGCACTAACATCGTCCAAATGTAATGCAACTTTTTTTTTTCAACCGACGATATCACTAACATGAGCGACAAACAAACTTTTTCGCCGCATCTTTTTTTTCGCCGCGTTTGTGAAGAACAACCGAACTGTGACGGTACACACAGTGTAATATGTTCAAACGCGTTCTGGAAAACAATAATTTGCCACCATCTTGTGCTGTTGCGCAAGCTCTTCATAAAAAGGACATAATAATCGAGCGCCGTCGTGAGAATTAACTCGAGTTTTTTTTCTTCTTCTTCTTTGAGAAAGAGAGAGAGAGAGAGGACAGGAGAAGAGAGAGAGAGAGAGAGAGAGAGAGAGAGAGAGAGAGAGAGAGAGACGATTATATTTACCACAATCGACGATTTAATTTATTCCCGACGGGGATCGAGCGGACGTGTGTATCGGCGACCTTCAAGGAAATGATAAAAATATAGCCGGTTGGCTCTATCGCCTCGGGGGGGGGGGGGGGGCCTACTACGAATTACTCGGCGAATGTGCGAAGCGACGGGCGGGCGATAAGAAAAACAATAACTAATAATAAGTACACGTCCGGCGTGCAAAGCGTAAAACGCCATGGCCGCATGCGACTCGCGCGAAACGCGTCGCGCGAATTGTTATTTATTGATTGTGAGAGAGGGACGTCTCGAAGCGGTAATGGCTCGGAAAACACGTAATCTTGTTAATTGAATGAAAGATTGATTTTGCGCGCACAATTCGATTGTGTGTGCGTGTGCATCTACCTTAAAAAAAAAAACAGAATTCTCGCACTTGCGAAAGAGTTCGCAGAAATTGCGCTCCGTGCGTCCCAGTTTGCGTCGGAGATAAGAAAACGCACGCCGCGTCGCAATGAAAGGCGCATATGCGAAACCATTGTCGTTTGTCGCGAGCGATGAAAAATGTGGTTTCTTCCGTCGCGCTCGCAGGAACATGAAATATAGATCGAGGCGAAGATAATGGAAGCGCGATTGTCTGATAAAAGAATTATTAATGTTACAAAACTTTGTGACATTCGTCCACAACACGTGGACGTTATCGTGTAAATAATTTGTTGGTTTCCTTCATTACCCTAAGCTTAATTAATTAACACAACCTGCTCGCTCTAGCTGATGATAAATGGTAAGCTGTGTACAAGCAAACATGCGGCTATTATTGTTCGAACCTCACGCAAGCTGCACTCGTTGGGAAAGATGTTACATTTAAAAGTGAAAAAATAAAGAAATTTTAGTTGTTTTTACATTGTACACGCGAAAATAGAACGCGACATTTGCACTTAGTTAGAAACTATAAGTGGCGTTTTACACTCACACATACACACTATAAAGCTGGGTATACACCTAGCGAACGAACGCCAAACGAACAGCAAGCGCAAACGTTTGTTATTATCATTCGTCAGATTTATACGCCAAAACAAATGCGAACAGNACATTTGATTCGCATTTGGTTTGGTTCCCTCATGAGNCATTTGTTTTGGCGTATAAATCTGACGAATGATAATAACAAACGTTTGCGCTCGCTGTTCGTTTGGCGTTCGTTCGCTAGGTGTATACCCAGCTTAAGATATCAGAGTTGTTATCACTCTGAGAGACGTGTAGGAAATGGAAATGTAGTTTTCAATGACATTTAGTTAATAAATTTGATAAGCGTTATACGTGTGCTACAAACACACACACACACACACACACGTAGAAGCGCACGTTTTTTGTGTTTCATAAAAGCAAGAAAAAAACGACAAGCTTCTTCGAAACAACATAATAAACATATTTTGCAATAATAAATATTTGTTGCATCAATTAATATCTTTCGCCTTAATCCTCTGCTTAGACATTGTATCGTACAAGTACTGATAAAACGAGAACACGTTTCTACGCGTCAAGTGACATCACAAAGATTTTACGATTGTTGTCTGTACATCTGGATCTGACACCGACATGTTCGGAGATCGGAATAATGCGGAGGATTGCAAACGGGCGGGTTCTCTCGAGAGAATGTAAAACGTTCTTATGTCTCAAAACAGTGTTCGAGCTCACTCTCTCCCGTTCACAAACGACTTTCTCGCGAATATACATAGAATTAATTAACGTAAAATAGACGTAAAATTAATTAAGTTTGCTCACCGGTTCGGCGAGGTAGGACTCCCACAATTCCTTGAGATCTCCCGTTCCCACATCGTAAAACTCCATAATATCTCGTTTTCCTTAGATCTCCTGGTAGTGTCGTCGGTCAGAAGAACATGGTGCTCGCCCATGAAGAACGAAAGAAATTAAAACGCCAGCATGATGTAGCCGCAATTCAGCGTCCTTTGACAATCTCGCGGGACTTGTAGTTATTATCTGAAATCAAGAAATTTCCCCGAATCAGTAACGCGATTCATGCAAAAATAGCGAAACGTGTTACTATACGTAATTACTTTCACAATTAATCAAACTGTCGTAATTAGAGATGTCGCAAACGTACTGCAGCACGTGTAACGTTAACCGCGTTAAACGTGATCCCGAGAGATCTACGTGCGCGCGTCATTCTCTCTCTTGGAGAAACTCAAGATTAAAATAGATCCTCTTTCCTGTATTTGTACAAGAAATAAGAGAAAACAAATTCCCTTGCAATATATATCCGTACTTTAGTTTAAATTAGATCAAGAGAAGCGGTAGATAAAAGGACTATCGTGTTTTCCGAGTACATAAATAAAAAAAGAGAGAGAGAGAGAAAGAGAGAGACGCGTCTGCGGATGCCATATAGAGAATCGAATACGCGCGCAAGTACACACACAAAACTCTCTCGATACGATAGAACGCGTAAAGTTTATGTAAGTTTATATTAATAGATCCAACCGGATGCTGAATACGCGTTGATGATCCGCTGGATATCGATGAAAGACTTGCGGATTACAACAACGCGTGCATAATATCTGCGACCTGTGCGCGCGCGCCGTGTACATATGCATATCGCGCGCCTGACCATTATTCTCGCCGCGGCCGCGTTTAATGCCTTTTGTCCTATATTACGGGATGATGCATGCGGCTGCATTACAGGTTCTAACGAGTTCAATGGACCTGTCTTTAACGGGCTGTGTGTATCACACGCGGCAAAGAAGAAGGGAAAAGAGAGCTGCTTCGCGACTACTACTACGCGGTGATGCAACGCGCGCGCTCGCGATTATAAACGAAGTTATTATGAAAAAAAATCACGCGTGTGTTATATATAATAATATGTTATATATAATATCAAATTTTAATCATTTTTAACATTAAGAAAAAATTTGACTTTGATCGCTTTGAAACGAGCACGATATTAACTGATTGTGCTTCATATGTGTGTAGATTACACATACGTTCTTGGAAGTTTTATTTTTTTATATTCAGCGATATGCCACTATCTTTAGAGAGATAAGAATAAACCAAAGGAAGCATTATTTTGAAGTGCCGTGAGTGAAGTTTAATTGAACTGTTTTCTGTATGTAACCAACCGATGTTTTTTGCACGTTCAAAATTTTGTCTCTTGCTCATCGCATCAAAAGAGACAAAAAATTCAGAATTAATTCAACGTACACAATCGTCGACCATATGTTGTGTCATTTCTCTAAATTCTGATTTTTTTTTCATCTCCGTGTAGCATTTTCTACGCGCAGAATAATGTTTCCTCGAAAAACGTTTCATACATAAGCAATTTTGCAGAGATGTTTATTTTTTTTTAATACTACGTCGCGGATATATTGCGAGAATCGAACTTATCGACGCGTTTAATCGCAACTGCAAATTATAATGTAATTAATTTCAATAAGCATACTCTCGCAGAGAGAGAGAGAGAGAGAAAGAGAGAGAATTTCAACAAACCTTTTAACCCACTCGGTTATTAAGGTTTGAGCGTCAATAATACTGCGCACGCTGTTTCGGAGATGAAACAGTTATGTGTTGAAATTCTAATTATATACAACACCACGATATATACGTACTTATCTAGTCGCATACAAAGCGTATCACACACAAGCTGCAAACTTTCCGCGTACACATTTAAAGAGTTACCTTAGAATTTTGTTCGGTAGTAAAAGCGGGACGAGAAATCTTCATTATCTGTTTTAATTCTAGATAATAAACAAAATACGCTTGTGCACGTTACACAAGCATCGCGCACGAATCATTCATATCCGTACGATAACGTAACAATCCGTTACTTAATATCTGCGTCACCTCGCGTATCGCATTTGTTGTAATCCGCTATCGACAATTCGCTTTTGACGACAATTATTCGTTTCCGAACGTATTAATTCTATTATTTTTACGAATAGATCGCTGCCGGAAGATCAGCTCCGATAAGCGATATCGACGCGTAGTCGCGCGTAATATTTTCCGTATTCCATTTTCTGCAATTCTCAGCGTTCTCGCGAGCGCGCGTTTTATCTCTGCTCTTTGTGTACGTTTTTTCAATTCTTTTCCTCTCCGTTTTAATTTTTTTTCCCGATAAAACTCTCATAACGCAAATGTCACACTTCGAAGAGTCGGAGAGTCGATCGACCTTTCGACGCGCGAACGACTCCGCGTAATCGCAGTCTCGATACCATCGATCGAAACTGGTATTTCAAGAGAAAATGAAGATACGATCAGCGAGCGCCGACGATGAGCGCATTTTTATCAACAACAATTTGCGACGTGAAACACGCTTATCGTCAACTGCAAAAACGATGCGTCAAACTTATAAATACCAGTTCTCGTTCATTGCCAGACTTTATCGCGAAAAGAAAGGTCTCTGTGAACATTTGCGCACCTTTCGTAATTAACAAAAGCGTAAAATCGAAAGTTTTGACTCAGCATTTCGCGGTTTGCAACAATTAAACGACGAAATAATCGGTATCGGTATTTTATCGCTTACGCAACAACAGCGCAACAGTCTGCGAGACTTTAAATCAATTCCCCAAGACCTTTCGTAACTGTCTCGAGAATTCCGTCGAGAAGTATCTCGCATTCCACGCGCGATACATCACTCGCACGGATTGCGCTGAAAATCTCTCGGGAGCTCATCGCGCTACCATCCTCGAATAAGTTGCACGCCTAGCGGCGCGCGAGATGACCTCTGCGCGCGATCATAAATCCGATCGGTGCAATCGGAGCGCACCAGATGGAACGGAGCGCCGGCTCGTGTGCACGTGCACTATCGTCAAAGCACGACGCGTCAAGTAGCGGTACCAGCGCGGCACAGAATGGTACCAGAACAATTTAATAATATAATAAGAAATAGAAAAAGTATATACACATGTATACATATATACATATATATATATATATACACACACATATACACAGCAATCATAAGTTGCTATACTCACTGATCAAGAAATATCAACATGAACGTTCACCAATTCACGTATGTTATACAGTAAGGCACAAACACTATACCGACCACGAGCAAACAGAACCGTACGTTACGATGCACCGGCGGCAGCGGCAATGTAGACGCCAATGAACGGTTTAAGAAAGCGGGACAAACCAGGAGATCGATAGATAGCCAACACCCGCGCACCTACGAGTTTGCGGAGCCACCGCCAATCTCGTGGGCCGATTGATATTTCGCACGCACGAACACGCGAGGTATCGATTTTTTGAATAGGTGGCGCGAAACACGTATTGGGTGACGATTCAATTCCGAGCCGAAGAATAAGCGTATGGTAGCGCAGCGAGATTTCGTCGCCAGGCGGATACGCACGCAATGACGTTCTTCGCGTGAATGCGGAGCGGACCGGCGACCGCACGTGCTGGCGCCGCGAGCACTTCAATCGCCGCTTCTCTCGACCAATCACGATGAACCACCTGTTACCAGCGTACTGAGCTATCAGTCGCCGGCGAGCGGCGGCGATTGCGCGCGCAGTCTTATCAGTGGCTGCGCGCGTCGACGAGCGCATTTTTAAAAGTAGCCGCTTTTAAAACTATCTCGGATCCGGGTGACGCTGTCTTCGACGAAAAATGGGAAAACCAAATCGTCAAACTGGCTTATCAACAAGGAAAGAATAAGATAATACGTGAAAAAGATCAAAACTTTTAAGGACTCTTTATATTAACGTTTTTCTCTTTTGACCGAATAATTATATTTTTCTTTAATTTATGAATCGTTGTATTGTGCGCATTGTGTTCTTCAAATTTTTTTCTGAGGTCTCTTTTAAATGTAGTAGAATGACTCATTTCTACTCCGATTTGTAAAGCGGAGTCGAATACGGTAGCATGACGGCAATTCTGGGTAATAATAGCATAGCAGGGCTAATAGATCTAACGGTATGCGGGTGCAGAAAGCAATGCGGGTAATCGATGCACACGCACACACACACACACACACACAGACTCGCCGAGCTCGCTCAAGTAACGCATTTGATATTGAGCCAGTCGAATCTACGTGTGATTAAAGAAAATATTCTTTCAACATTTCTTAGAAATGTTGAAAGTAAACATAATATTATTCAAACGGTAGATCTGCTCTTCGTTCGCTAGATTTCGTCCCTTAAGAAACAAAGAAAATTTTTTTTTTTTTTTTTAATGAGCATTCTTTCCTCGTGTCTTAAAAGTGACGAAGAGAGAGAATCTGCGTATCACAGTCAGATAAGAAAAGAAAATTTCCTCTTCGTTCCTTCCTCCTAAAAAAAAGAACGAAAAGATTCTATTCTCTTCATTTAACTGAGATTGCGATAACCTGTTTTCGTAGCTATCACAAAAGATTTTATCAAATATGTTTGTACGTTTTGATAAAAGCAAGTTTTACCTTGAGGTTTGAAACAGGTCAAATCTCGAATATACGAGACGCACAATATATAACGTAGAACTATGTAGACATACGTTAGATATACCTTGTGCAGCTTTGTTGAAACCTCCTAGATCTTTCCTTGCGCATTTGGCACCGAACGTAGTAAACGTTGTTGCAAATGAAAATCTCTCTCAAGATTCGTCTTCGTGCGACATGTATCTATGAATCTACTTATATATTACAGACCAATGGAGATATCATCAAAGTGATCTAGTCATTATCAATATCTAGCGCGGCAAACAGCGCAACGGGAACAAAGGCCTTACGTCGGCGCAGGAGAGCCAGGTGCGAATTTATCCGCCGTTAATTGCGACGTTCATCCGCTATACGTACAATTCGCGCTCGAGACAAGCTTGAAGAACAACGAGCGTCTTGTCTTCGGCGCCGCGCGCGAGATCGCCTCTTCCCCTCGTACATGTCTAGCGCGACACACCGGATATTCAATTAGCGGAAAGAGGTCTTACCTCCTCCATCGTCGTATCTCGTTAGAAAAACGCATTGACGACACTTCCAGATGCGTTTCTAGGCGTCGTAGGCAGCCCTCGTCCCGATCTCGCGCGCTGAATAAAATTCGCCGCGTACATTGTTGCGCGCACAATGGAGCAATATATATTTAGACCGATTCGTTTGTCGCCGCTCGTCGACGACTCACCTACATCAACGCCGCTATCGATTTTGCAATTATACCGCAACATAGTGAGCAACTTGCGTGTATTGGTACGCGTGTGATACGTACGCGTGCGTTGTTGTTGATCTCGGTAATCATTTACGTTCTAATAATAACCGGAGAATCTACGGAAATATCTCTCACCGCGTCTCTATGCACAAATTGACATAAAACTTGCATCAGACTACTTTGTGTGTGCACATGTTTGTAACGTCGATAAAACTCGTCGAGTCACACAGTTGTTGTTGCTATTTTTAATTGCCCGCCGTTTTCCTCGCGCGCAAATTAAATAATAAAACGCATGTTTGTTTGATTTTTCAAAATAAAACTTTTTATTTGGGATTCTTTTTTCTCATACATCGCGATATCTCGACTGCAAAGTTTCACACACCACGCGGTAGTACAAAAAATCTGTGTATCGCCACCTTATTTACGCACTTCTTCTCACGCACTGCGATAGAATTCTATATTATATGCATATACAATATTGTTTGTTTGGTTTTTTTTTTTTTTGTTTTTCCTTTGTCCGTATCAGGTACAATACAAGGCTGAACAAAATATATGGTCGTACGATTTTGTTCGAATTAAAGATCCATCTTTATTCTCGACAATCTTAAGAATATTAGCATTTGAAATTTCGTGCTCTTGCTCGTGTAATACCCTTGTTTTTCTTGTTTGAATATACAAAGTAACTCTATGTATACATGCAATTTGTGTGTGTTTCACGTAAAATACAATCTAATTTTGGTGTTTCTCTCTTGTCTCATCATCAAAATACATTCTTGTTCAACACCTTGTCCGCGCGTGTCGGCAAACAAAAACCGAACCGCGCCTCGAAACGCGCGTTTTACAAATTAATTCATATATTATAATTCACATCTGCGAAGTGAACAACAAATTAAATATCGCATAAAGACGTAAATATAAACATATGACGGGAGGACATGTTGTGTTATTTAAATGTCTCCCTATAACAAAACATCAGAGGATTAAGAGTAATAATTTATTACTCTAAAATAAAACTAATAAAAAGGTCGTTCGACGACCTTCAATCCCTTCACATTATAAGACAATTAAAACGCATTAAATTCAACTTGTTAAGATTCACATATAATTTTCACATAATATAATATAAAAACGTGACGCAATAATGAGGCATGCATATGATAAAACAAATGAATCGTAACTACTGATAAATTATGCGCGACAGCTCGTGCGGATATGTCAAGTAAACAAAGCGCGTATACTTAAAACTCTTTTTTCAAAGCAGATTGTAGTAACGCGCTACGCATCGACGTCACCAGCTTCTCCAGCTCCTCAACCTTCATTTTAAGTATCTTGTTGTCTCTCTCCAGTTCGACTGCTCTCATGGCCATCTCCGATTCCTTGGCCTTTTTGTTCATCCGTGATCTTCGCGAGGCCTCGTTGTTCTTCTCTCGACACTCCCTGTACTGCGCGAGAGCGACATCATCCTCGGACTCGCTCTCGTAATATTTCTTCCTTCCGTTCTTATCTCTCGTCTTTATCCTTAAAACCGAGATCTCCTTTTCCTTGCCGCTCGAGGACGTCGTTCTCTTTCTCTCCGATCTTCGTGACGACGTTGCGGGAGTCGCTTCCACAGAAGACGAAGTCACCGTCGCCGTCGTCGCTCGAGTTTCCATTCTACGACGCTTCGGTGGTGTTGGTTCATTATTAACCTCTTCTGTCTTTACTTTCGTGGGAGTGTGTGAAAATACCGACGACGATGCCGATGAGAGAGATTTGAATTTAACTGACGATTCGGTGGATACACTACCCTCTGATGAACGTACGTCTCCCTGTAAATAATATCCTTCCTATAATAATAAAAATTATAATTCTGTTAAATGATAAAAACTCAAAGAAATACAGTACAAAGATATATTCATCTCTAAAGATGTCGTGTTAACAATTAGATGTTTTTTCAGCGATACTTACGTCCCAAAGGTACGATAATAAGTCGAACGTCTCCGATCCAGTTGTCTCGATCGTGCGTAATTCATCCCAATTTGTCTCATCAGTTTCGCGCTTGTTAGCGGTAGAGTCGAACGTAGAAGTATAATCGATATCTTTCGCGATTTCAAGCGGCGCGCCGACATCAGCATTCTGCTTTTTACTCGTAGAAGACGTAGAAGCTGTAGTAGAAGCTGTAGATTCGGGTGACATTATCCACGAGTTGGTCGCGTTATTCTCCTCATTGCTATATCCTATCGTGTATTCGTTAACCATATTTGATGGAGATAACAGTAAGTGACGATTGTTGTCACTTAGCTCTTCAATCGCTTTAACGGTGTCCATTTTCAAATTACGCTTCTCTTCATTAGTCATGCTCTTCAAATCCTTCAACAATTTCTCCTCATCCACAGAAACGCCGTTACCCTCGTATTTCGTACCTAAAACAAGACAGACTGTGAAAATATTTTACTGGACAAAATATATAAATAAATAATCGTTTCACTATAATTTCACAGAAGTAATAATAAAATTTGACTTTGAGATGTCAAATTGCACAGAAAAGGAAAGGATCACAAAGAATCGATGCCGATTGCGTAGTTGTCATTCACGTAAGTTTTTTTACCAGATGTTTTTTTTACCAGAAAAGCTTTTAAAATCTCTCGTTATTTTATTCTCGTGTTTATGTTCTCTTTTTGTTTTGTTGTTGAAACGCGTAAGTACAAAGAATATTTACACAGTAAAAAATTGTGCGTCAAAATGTAGAACTTTTCTTGTGTTACGACGTTTTGATTATTACTTCAATGTAAAATTAACATAATACTGATATGTTATTATTTTTTTAATCTTTTCACGTGTCAAATTTATGTTAACTTCACAAATTA